GGAAAGAGGCTGCTGTGAAATATGAAACCGCCGCTCTACTAATCGCATGGGAGTCACGGCTTTCCAATTTGGCCGAATAAGCTGCGCTTTCTTTTTAAATATAAAAAAACAAACTATCCTGGGCCTTGGTGTGTGTTTCTTCTCCTCTGGAAAACAATCAAACTCTGTAAATGATTCATGCCATTCCACTCCGCTGTATTCTCTCTCCCCCCCGAATATCAAAAGACGCCCTCGTCTTTATGTCTAAAGCAAATGCAATTGTGCTCAGAAAGTCTCCTTGATGCCTCTCCAGTTAACCCACTTTCAGTGTTTTCACACAAACGTGTCATCGACGGAGCAAGAGGGAGAGAAAAAGGTTCGCCGTGCAAACAGCCCACGAAAGCAGCGTGTCGAGTTAAAGAGCGCCTCGTAATTATCACAACGCCTGGCGTTTGTGGATCAGTGAGGAAGGAAACATTTAACACAGGATTCACTGTTTGTGTTTTAGCTGCAGAAAAAAAAAAGTCCCAGGATTCCACTGTAATTATTTGTTGTTTTCCCGTTCACTGTTCCACTTTACAAATAGGTTAATGGAATCGAATATGACACAAAAAAAGTAGAAATGGAATTATATATAAACTACCTCGAACACAATGTATTTATTAGGTTGAGTACATATTTAGCAGTGGATTATTATTTTATTTTGTTATGAAATCACGAGCCGATACGATAACTATGAAAACTACCACTTTACAATTGCAAATCAGTGAAATACAAAAAAAAAAAATTCTCGACGTCAGTGCCCCAAGAACGTGCTGCGCTCCCCATTTTGAGAACCACTGACTGCTTTATGATTTAGTTTAGATTTTACAAAATACTGTCATCAATCACCATCATCGTTAATTAGACAAACATAGAAATATTACAATACGACAGCAGAAAAATATGTGTGCAGTTTCTTAGAAAAAAAAAACAACAAACAAATTTGAAATTGAAATGAACATTATGTACGTTGTGATTTCCACTGACATTTACAATGTTTTCTTTTCCTTGTTAATTTCTCTTTTGACTGGTGGGATTTCTCTCCTTAAATCTTACAAAGCGTCGCTTCTCACATTCAATGTCTTCCATTGCTGATACTTTTGGTGATGGTGATGAAATCTAATTCAAATCCATTTTGATTTCCTCATATATT